TGAAGCAGGAGGATCATGTTCCAGTCCAGCCTGGGCTACATAGCGAAACCCTGTCTCATAAAAACAAAACAAAAACCAAAAAGGACTGAGCTACTGATGTAGCTAAATTTGAAGGCCCTAAATTCAACACCCCCCCCACACACACAGCCCAGCAAGATAGTGAGAGCCCTGAGGCAGCTGCCTCCACCCCACTCCACAATTTAGGAGGTAGTGGTCCCCTTAGGGAAAGAGGCACTTAGTGGTGACAATGAAGCTAATTAACAGAATGCCAATTAGTTCCTGAAGACTGCTGTGTGTAGGAGCGGAATTTGTGGCTCCCAGAAAAGATAAGAAGGCTGGACTGAAAGGAATGGGTGGGGCAGAGCAACCTAGTCCCCTCTGTTCACCCCATCACCCACCCAGCACATCCCTCTTTCCAGAATCCTTCCTGAGCTCCTCACTCTACTCTGGGCTTCTTGCCTCTGTGGCCAATTCTGAGTTGGGTGAGAGAGACTAGGGGCATGAAGGGTATGAGCTAGTAAATGTGCTCAAAATATTTCAGACATACAATGTTATGAGTATATATGTATGTGTGTGTGTGTGTATATGTATATATAATAATCCACACACCCACTGCTCAGCTTAAAAAATGTTAACAAGTGAGCTGAAACGCTCTCTCCCTCCTGAGAGATAACCAGCCTCAATTGGGTGTATGTGTGATGCTCTTTCAGACTGTGCCATATATTCTATCTCTTCCCTCTGGAGCAGTGCTAATAGAACCTTGTTCGATGATATAAATGGTCTACACCTGCACTATCCACAATGCTAGTTATGAGCAACATGTGGCTAGTGTGAAGCACCAAAGTTTCTCTCTCTCTTTAGTGCTGAGGATTTAACTCAGGGCCTTGTACACTAAGCAAGCACCATACCACTGAACTTCTCAGTTCTTTTTTTTGTTGTTGTTGTTCTTTGAGACAGGATCTTGCTACGTAGTTCAGGGTGGCCTTGAACTCACAGTAATCCTTGTGCCTCAGCCTCCAGAGAGTGGCTAGCAACTTCTGTGTTGGACAATGATGCTCCAGAATATAAGTGCCATAAGGGTAGGAACTTTGTTGTATTCACTTTTTTTTTGCCCAGGCTGGGTTTGAACTCGATAATCCTTTAGCCTCAGCCTTTTTACTAGGCTTACAAGCATGTGCCACTGTACCCAGCTGTTGTATTTACTTCTGTGAGTCTAGAACAATCCCTGGTAGATAGCAGCAGGTACTCAATAAATGTTCAGGTCAGTGACTAAGTCATTAAAGCAAGCCAATTACCCAAATATTATTCCCATTTCCAAGTTGGGACCACTGAGGCCCAGAGAAGTGATATGACTATATAAGGTGACCTAGCTTCTAAGTGCCAAGTCCAGGATTTGGACCCAATTCTCCTGATCTTAAGCCTATACTTTTTTTTTCAGTTCTGGGTACTGAACCCAGGGCCTCAAATACACTAAACACGAACTCTACCTCTGAGCTACACCCCAGCCTCAAGACTACACCCTAAAAAAAAAAAAAAA